GTGCTAATGTACGGGCTGGCATCCCCAAGATGTTGAAAAGCAGCACTACTCTCCTCCCACAATTCTCGTCTAAGATCACGAGCTTTCTCCCAGGCTGCAGGCAAGTCCGCTTCAAACGCCAAGGCAACATGGAGACAGAGGCACTGACGCATCTCCTCCGCTTTCTCGCTCCCGAGTTGCAAGGCGACCTGCAGGTCCTCAGGCAGAATCAACTTGTCCTGGGCATCAAGGATGTCAACGGGCGGGACGCCTTCCCACAAAGGGTGGCTGAAAGTCATTTGACCCTTACCAACTCCTTCTGCCCAAACGAAGGTGCCGAAACAAGCTTCGGGCTCAGGAAGAATCAAACCGGCCTTGACCCCAATGGAACTCAGAACTTCTTGAGCCTCCTCAGCGAGCTGTGGATGACCGTAATCAATGGCTTGGGTCAGTATCTCCGAAAGCTGTACGACCCTGCCTTGCATTTCTGCATTGACAAAGTGAGAGGCCACGTGGGAATGAAGGTGATCGCTGCAACCAGAGAGGGGGGCAAGTTTCTTGCTAGCTAGGAGCTTTTCGTACACATCCTTTCGTTTCTGTGCCTCATCTGTGCCAGCTTGCACCGCCGTGACTTCTGTATCCTGACGAAATTGCTGGTGCCATGAGTGATCAGGTCCCTCAGCAAGGTTTCCAAGCTCGTGCTCGAGCTGGGTGACCGGCCCCTGGTAATCTTCCGGGACAGCCCACCCGGCCTTCTCTTTGGCCTTGGCCTTGGGATGTGCCCTGGCTTTCCCTTGGGCGGTCGCACCAGGTTCTATCTTGGAGGCCTGCTCTTCTTTGGCCTGAGCTCTGAGCTGTGCGACTCTTCCGTCAACTTCCTGGGGATTCACTTTTGGTCCGCTGCGCAAACCTCCGCGCCGGAGCACCTGCATAGCAACTGTGTAATCCAACTTGGAAAGCTTTGGCAGAGGCTCATGCGCATTGGGGCAGGCACTCCGATGACAGCCAATGTGGCAGGCTGCGTCCCAGCATATTGGTTTTTTCGTTTTCGGGCACTGCGGAGCATGCTGGATGGATCTCTTAACCTCGGCGGGGCTAAGACGCTTTCCCGCGGGATAAGCTTTCGAAGCATCCCCGGCTTTATTGGGGTCGGGTCGCAAAGCCAGTCGAGGAGCGCGACCGGCCTTATCTGGATCTTCTGCTTCCAGAGACGGACCGTCTGCAGGTGAAGGATTAGAAACCCCGGTTGGGCCCGCAGTTTTACGGTGATCCGGTCGTTTCTCCTTAGTGACATGGTCATGCAACTGCTTGTTAAGTAGCCTTGCCATTAGCCTTGTTTTGCCGTGGCAAGATCACCCTCTGGTAGTAGCCGGCTGGATCAGCCAAATCCCACACTCTCGGGAACTGGAAATTGGCTTGTCCCGTGGTGCTAGGAGAGAGCGCCACAAGCTTGAAGTCTTCCAAGCGGGGGTTTTCAGTCCCCAACTTGGCACAGAGACGTCGTCGGCTCTCTCGGATCTCTTCACACCACACAGCTGTCATCTCCTCAAAAAGCTGCACGCAATACGCAAAAGGAAAGGCATTCTCATCCTCTTCGTGCGCTTCACGGAGAGCTTGTAGAAACTTGTTCCTTTCTTGGACGTGCTCAAGGCCATACGCGCTTCCGAAGACCTTGATGGAATTTTCCGCATAGCGAAGCCAGGTGAGGAAAGTTGTGGGAGTTTTACCGCGGGCTTCAAGTTTGTGCTCGGTCGGTGGCGACCAATTCTCGATCTGCTCGACTCGAGCTGTTGCACAATCGGCTGCTAGCAGTGTGAAACTCTCGGTCCCACCCCACCACAAACCTGATATGGACAAAGCCACTCGATTGGTAATCAAGACTGGCCACTTTATCAGACCAAGCTCGTGCTTCGCGTGCAAGCCAGCCCGCTTGATGCTGTGGAAGAGCTCCTTCCCGTAGACGCCTTTGCAGAGCTCAATCGAGAGTTGACCGCATCCCCTGGCCAGGAAAACGTCAAGCTTCTCCCCTTCCTTGATGGAGCTCACTTGACCCTTTGTCCCTGTTTTATCCTCGTCCTGTGCCTTGCGAAGGCCATCGATGGCGTGGATAATCCGGTCCGTGGCCAAGGTGGGGTCGCTCGGTCCGAGTTGCTCCCCAAAAGCTGCGCCTGCCTTACGCACGAGACCCTGTCCAAGTCCCATAGCCGGCTGCTGTAATGCCAAAGCCCCAGTAGCTGCGCTCACGAGTCCGGAGGGCGTCTCCAGCCCAGTTGTTGGAAAGAGGCGAGCAACAGCGTCTGGGAGCCC